TTTCCCCTGGAAAAAAAAAAAAAAAAAGGGGGGGTCTTAGTTTTCCGGGTCTTAGTTTTCTGGGTCTTAGTTTTCCGGGTCTTAGGTCTTAGGTCTTAGGTCTTAGGTCTTAGTTTTCCGGACACCCGGCTGACATGTGATTGCATACCGTAAAATTCTGAAAATAAGCCCCGGGGCTTCTTTTTTTCAAAGGCCCTTTTTGAGGGGCTTATTTTTGGAGGGGCTTATATTCAGAGGGGGTTATCTACGAAGGGAAATTTGCATTTCAAAATCGATTGGGCTAGCCTTATAGCCGCAAGTCAATTTACCCTTTTTGCTTTGTTTTACTTTGTATTTGAGAGCAATTTTCCAAATACAAGCCCCCAGGGGCTTATATTTGGAGGGGCGATTTAACGGAGGGTTTTTGGTGTTACCGGCTTGGGGGGCTTATATTTGGAGGGGCTTATACATGGAGGGGCTTATTTTCAGAATTTTATGGTATCTCAGCTTTGCTTTGCTTTGCTGATCATTGCTATTCACAGCCTATGATACTGGGGTCAGGAGTGTTTTTGAGGTGGTTGGTGCTCACTTGGTTGCCATGGTTAACTCCAAGACAATGCTTCCCTTTTACGCTATAGGCCCTTCCACCTTTAAGGCACCTGCTCCCAAGCTCATCTTTTTAATATCAACAGCAGTCTAATCTCAAAGTCACTTACTATATGTAATGGTGGTTCTGGAAGCTGAATTTCTTTTAGTGGAATGATCTTGTCTTCAGTAACTGATAAAATGTGAACAGCTCTCTTCTTAGAAAGTGCCATGCAAACCTATAAATACATGGTACCAGTAAAAAATCTCTTTTAACTATTTTATATATATAAACTACAAATATGACATCATGAATTAGTGAGCCATTTTACAATATAAAAATAACTGGAGAGAGACCACATGCATTCCTCTTCAAACTACTCCAATTAATCTGTTTAATGTTTCAACCATAAAAGTTCTGATAATAGCAGCTTTGCAACAATATTATTATTCTATTTTTTCTTTCTTTTTTTTTTGAACAATATTCCATTTTTAATTATTGCAGAGACGTAAGGGAAATACATAAAATTGAGTAATGTAAAAGGGGAAAGGCATAGAATATACACAACTGCACTGCATCAATACAATGAAAATCTATCCAATGTTTTTAATAAAGAGGACTTACCTCAACAGCAAATGGATCAAATAAGTTTGGGTTATCATTTCTACAAATTTCAGTCACCTAAAAAACACAGGTCAGATTCAACATCAATTACTCCTGACAAAGTTTTAAAATGCATAATAGCCGCTAGCTTTAGTTGCCTCTACTAAAAATACATGTACTGAATTTTTCACTGCCATGAAAACTTGAAGCTGTTATAATTATTAAACATTATTATTGTTTATTATTATTGAAGCAGATTTTTTAGATGTATACACTTCTATAAATATGGTTCATGCATTTTTGCTTCTGGGCAATCTCCAAAAATCAACACCACTTGGAAATATATTGCTGTCGATCAACTTACCCCTTTAAATCTGTCTTTAAATCCTGTGGCCAAAAACTGTAAGAAAATTTGGAACCAATAAAGGCAACTGATTTATAACAATAATCAACATTCCAACCTGATATAAGTCCAACACCTTTAAATCTGCAGTTTTGGAAGTCAAATAATTTTACAACCCATTTGGAGGGAATGCTAATCTGACATATAAAGCTACATCCACAGGATGTATTGCTAAGGGAGTAAACTTGCAAGGAGTGTACATTGTTATTCCATCATAGGTAAGGTCATATGTACATAAGTTGGAAATGAACCAGGGTTCATACAAAAAATTGCAACCATTTTTTCAGGACTTTTCAAGAACTTGTCAAGGACTACCTACTGGGAATGTAATTTCACAGATTGTACAAAAATGCACATTCCCAGTCCATTTTAACAAGACTTTAAGGCTTGAACTTGACCTACATTTTTCAGTACACTTGTCTTAAATTGATAGTTACTTATTGCATAAAATGTTCAAAAAATGCTTTACAGTATACTCCTCATGGAAAACCAAAAAGCAATAAAAAAACACTTTTCACGCTATTACGTTCAAAGCTGAAGGAAATTCAAGAACTTGCAAAGAACTTGCAAAGAAATTTAAGGACTTTTCAAGAATTTCCACTAAAATCCAAGGATTTTTTAAGAAGACTGTGCAAACCCTGTTAACTACGTGTACTTAAGATTATATGATACAAATGTCGGTAATAGAATATAATATAACTCACCTCTAAACCAAACATAGTGAACATCAAAATTCCACCTGCCAAAAGAAACATGAACAGACGACATTAAAAGTTTGGTGGATAGAGATATTCAGAATAATCAAGGTTGGGGTGAGTGTTATCCCCTCAGCAGGAAAAAAAAAACATACCATCACAGAGCACAAGAAGTCTGTTTATTGCTGGAGCTGTCAGCACCTGCACAACAGGCTTTTTCTGAAATCAATGAAAATGAAAAAGTTTATCATCAACAAAGTAGAGAATTCTTTAAAGGGACAAGTTCACGGTTCAGCACATGCACATTAATTAAATTACTTTTTTCCAATTGTTTATTAATTCTGTTGGTTAATAATCCCACTCACATGTATCTCAGTGATTTCAGAGTGTATTTCAAAGTAGAAGTGTATTTCAGAGTAACCTGAAGTAGGGTGGAGGAGTACTAAAATGGCAGAAAAAATTAGTGGATCATGCCAACACTGCTAATGTTGAATTTATTGTTGACCCAAAGGTTTTATTCCATGGTTGATAATTTACAGCTATTTGCACACAAGTTGATCAAGTGACTGCCAAGAGAGATGGTTCTTTGACAACATCATAACATGATCATATTGCTTGCATAGACGATACAGCATGTCCTGGCAGAAAACAGCATTTTCATTAATGAGCATGAGCTGAACCATGAAACCGTTCCTTTAAAATTAAAAATGAAATATTAATTTCAGGCAAAAGGAAATATTGAAAATTGAAGATTGTCAAAGAAAACGAAAAACCTGTACAAAAAGGCTGCTTAATATTATCAGTTAATAAGAAAAGAAGGTAAAAATGGAAGATCATTACATTAAGTTCAAGGTTGACCTGGATTAATTTTACATTGTATCTGCCATTGTATAATGACTTCACACAAGCAAGGTGACTGTGTATCATGTTAAATTAAGATTAAAACATACACTGTACACAGCTGAACCGCCATTAAAGCGGCCACCCTTGGGGTACCGGCAAGTGGCCGCTTAATGGAGGTTGGCTACTCTTAATTAGCAAACTCCTCGGCAGAAACATCATCTTATTTTGAAACACACATGCAATGTGGTTGACAATCAGTCATTACCATCTACACTGTATCTAGAGCTGCAGTTTCCTTTAACATATTTTTAAAAAAGCTAAACTGCACTTAAGTGTATCAAGCACTTCATGGCCACTAATAGAGGTTTCACTTATTATTATTTTCTAAATTATTATTTTTGGGTATTATTACTGGCAGCCTCATAGATGGTGGCTACTTAAAAGGCAAACAATTTAAAGAAGGTTCAACTATAGTTGTTTGTTATAAACAAACCATTCCAAGATGCTTGGATGCTTGCAGTCCTGACTGAAATGTTGTTTTACCCAGTGGTGAAACTCCTTCATCAATGACATAATGAAGAACAAAACTGGAGACAAAATAAATAATTATTTAAATCCCAACAAGAGTGGTAGGGAAACAGCTCTAGTTACAATAAATACGTTGCCAACACAATTATATAAAATTAATATCAAAGATTAGTTGTTGGCAGATCAAAGTAAAAAAACTGGCTTTTTTAAGTCAGGGAACTGCTGCGTTCTTCTAGAAAGAACAGTAGATCCTTCCAAGCATAATTCCTGTTAACTATTTGTCCTCTAGTGATGACATAAACAAGAGAACTCAGGGTACTAAAAATAGAAGAAAATAAAAGACAGGGGCACCCAACGACGGTTTCCTCCTAAATAAATTAAAAACACTTTTTGGGCCATGCAGGGTACTTTTAGATCTCTAGAAATGCACTCTAAGCAAGGCTATAAAATTTGTAGCTTTCCAGTCATCAAAGGGAAACTTGATTCTTTTTGAAATTACAAGTGGCATATCTAACTTGCGGAACCCACAGAACTCTCAAAACCAACGGAAAGCAAAAAAAAAACAGATACATGTTCCTGAATATGGTCTAAATCATTTCCAGGGTAGGAATTTCTTCGTAATTCAACATTAAAATTCTCACTATTTTAAACTGATCAAGATACCAAGCTTAGTATGGGCACTAGTCTACCCACATGTAGCCCAAAATAAGGAGCCTAACTGAGATTCCCAATTAATACACATAAATGGCATTTTATCAGTCTTTACTTAAAATTTAATTCCAAGTCATAAATCTGCAAAAATTAATTATCATGGAAATAATGTAAACACGCAGTTTATACCTCATCACACAAGGTTGGAAAAGATGTTTTGAAAGCTCCAGTTCTCTTCTGTTGTCATTTTTTGGCACATTATATGTTTCCATGAGTCAATTTGTAGATTTCATTTACCACTAATACGAATTTAACCCGTCCAAGATGTGTTTCTTTTTATTCCGTGATCATGACACACCGTATTTCCTCGAATGATAGCTGTCCCACAATTAATCACCTACCACAAAATAATCACCCTCCTTTGATGAAAATATTCAAAATAATCACTTCCCTCGAATAATCACCCCCTACCTCTCTTAAGTAAAAAATTGACACCTTGAATAACAAGCAAAGCTGAACTAGAGTCTGATCCAGCAAAACTGATCAGTGACGATGCAAGCTCTGATGCCGAGGATACTGACTTTGAAAATCAATCAAGGAACCAAATTTGGACGTGATTATTATTTTTTTCTATTTAATGGGATAATAAAACAAAATCTTTATTGCACGTTTTCCAGGGAGCAATATTTTGAAATAATCACTTCCTCGAATAATCGGCCCCTTTTGGTGCAAAAAATAATAATAATAATCGCCCCAAGCTATTATCCAAGGAATTACGGTAATCTTATTTAATTGATATTATCATTGTGCGTTTCATAATAATTGGTTACTTTGGCTAAATGGTTTTAAGTCACAACACGCGAAGTTTTTTGCTTGCGAAAGGGTGCATGCTCCAACTCCGACAATGGAATTTTATTTCTTCTTCTTCATTGCTTTCCGCTTCCTGTTCTATTCTATTTTTCCTGGCTTTTTTTAACTATCTTCTAATACTACTTTAAAATTATAACTACTTAGCCACAGCAATACCTCATTTTTTTAAAAAAAGGGACATAATTTACGATGGATCTAGGATGTATATGTTGTGGTTCAATTTCATCCTTGGTTTAAATTTCATTTTCCTTTGTTTTGGGGTTTGGTAATGTATGATAATGAGTTTAAAAATGAGTTTATAAAATTTAAACCAAGGATAAAATTGAACCACAACATGGAACCAAAATTAATATAGTCTCCAACATCAATTCAAGTCTATTCATACACCAAGTATCTCAATATGAAAAGTCTAGTCTTGAGTCACAGAAGTGCGAAGAGACGCGGAAAGAGGAAGGAAGAGATGTAGAAAAGCCGAAAAAGGACAGTGGTATGCTTCACCCAATTTCTAGTTTACAGTGAACACTCTGGTCGACACAGATTCTACATTCTTTCATGTGATCTGATTTGTTTCTCCTTGCAGGAGTCTATTTGTGTGTATTGGCATCTCTACAAGTATTTTTGTTTAAAACTAAATAAGCTCTATGAAAACATTTAAGCTTATTCTTAGGTGAATGAATTTTTAAGTGTACTGATCATTGAAAGGATAATAATTATTTTAGTTAACATAATGTTTAACGACATGGAATCAAACACAGAGTACGCAAGTATCCAATGTGGTTAAACAACTGATCTTGCGAAATACATCCCTTGCCATCTCCACATGGTGTAAAATGGAGACTCCATTAGGGAGTCTCTAAGTATTCTATCCCATTTTTTTCACTTCTTGATAATTATTGTAGTTTTAAATTTAACTGCTAAATAATCTATTTTACACAACTTTTGAGGGAACCTGAGTAGGGCTTTTTCTTTTAGGCTGCCTGTGCCTAGACCAGTGCCCACACTACATCTGGTAAATTGATCAGTCTAAAACAGTAAAAATCTTCATATTGTACTAAGAAGAAGAAATCCCAACCCTGGAAATGGCTTACGCCATATTCAGGAACATGCATGACCATTTTTTTGCTTTAATTTAAGGTTCTGTAGGTTCCGTGGGTTCTGTAGGTTCCGCGAATTAGATAAAACCAAAAAACAAGGGCTTTAGCATTATTTTACCCAAAATTTTAGACGCAATTTAATGTACTACAAAAGTGTGGATTCTACTGATTCCTCTCTCCATCACATTTTTGAATCCGAAAATTTTATGTTTCCTTTTTTGTATTTGTAAGATGGGCTTCGAAAACTGTACATGAATGAAATGGTCATCTAGAAATTCTTAGCCGTCCCCTTAGGTATATAGTTGACTTTAATTAACAAGCTACTGTTTTAAAGTTGTGCAATGCATAAAATTAGCAGTGCTGCTGGCCTCTCAGAGCCCCTACCCCATTATAGTCTATTCTGTGGCCAATTATAGATCCCATCTTAGTCACTTTTGGGCAAATACGTAATTTTCGCGATACCAACTTAGTCACTTTCTATTTTTATAAATTGACACATTTGTGAGATTGAATGAAGAATGCTTTACTCTTCATCTAGAGTACAAACATTCTGGTACATTTGCTAACCCTAAATAACAAGAACTGTCTTACCCAAAAAAATCCGAAAATGTCCAACCCCATTCTAGTAACTCTATTGAATTAGTGTGACCCCATTAAAGTCAATCCAGTTGTGAAAATGCGACCCCATACAGCGGCACATCCCCATTAGCCTGTTATCAGGAAGTATCTCCCTCGGGTCTATCATACAGACCGGGGGGGAAGCTACTTCCCATACATTCTCTTAAATGACATCCANAACTTTTGAGGGAACCTGAGTAGGGCTTTTTCTTTTAGGCTGCCTGTGCCTAGACCAGTGCCCACACTACATCTGGTAAATTGATCAGTCTAAAACAGTAAAAATCTTCACATTGTACTAAGAAGAAGAAATCCCAACCCTGGAAATGGCTTACGCCATATTCAGGAACATGCATGACCATTTCTTTGCTTTAATTTAAGGTTCTGTAGGTTCCGTGGGTTCTGTGGGTTCCGTGAATTAGATAAAACCAAAAAACAAGGGCTTTAGCATTATTTTACCCAAAATTTTAGACTCAATTTAACATACTACGAAAGCGTGGATTCTACTGATTCCTCTCTCCATCACATTTTTGAAACTCAAATTTTATCTTTCCTTTTTTCTATTTTGTTAGATGGGCTTCGAAAACTGTACATGAATGAAATGGTCATCTAGAAATTCTTAGCCGTCCCCTTAGGTATATAGTTGACTTTAATTAACAAGCTACTGTTTTAAAGTTGTGCAATGCATAAAATCAGCAGTGCTGCTGTCCTCTCAGAGCCCCTACCCCATTATAGTCTATTCTGTGGCCAATTATAGATCCCATCTTAGTCACTTTTGGGCTAATACGTAATTTTCGCGATACCAACTTAGTCACTTTCCATTTTTATAAATTGACACATTTGTCAGATTGAATGAAGAATGCTTTACTCTTCATCTAGAGTACAAACATTCTGGTACATTTGCTAACCGTAAATAACAAGAACTGTCTTACCCAAAAAAATCCAAAAATGTCCAACCCCATTCTAGTAACTCTATTGAATTAATGTGACCCCATTATAGTCAATCAAGTTGAGAAAATGTGACCCCATACAGCGGCACATCCCCATTAGCCTGTTATAAGGAAGTATCTCCCACGGGTCTATCATACAGACCGGGGGGGAAGCTACTCCTCTGTACATTCTCTTAAATGACATCCAAACGATGTTCTTACAACTTGCAAAGCGATCAGCAAGGGTCTTGCCAGCGGATTTGCGTACTGATCATGCGCTTTACATCAAAAACTGTAGATCAAAGGTTTTGAGAAGGAACAAAAACATGGCGGTGCAAGGAGGGACTGTTTCTCACTATTATATTTTGGTAATTTGCAAATTTATTGATTTTATGTTGCTTTTCAGACATAGTGTGTGGTTTTCTTTTTCTGTTAAACAATTTCCCTCTGCAGAGTTTGCAGTATGCAACATATAGCTGCATATAGCTGATAAGAACCGCTGAAGAGTTGAGCTATCGAGCAGTGCTTTGCTGCAAACGTTAGGAAAGTTAAGGTCGCTTCAAGGTACAGAGCATTCGGTCGTAGTTGTGATTCGTTTATTTGAATCATTTTGAATTTTATCTTTGAATTCAAGGTGTTGACTGATCATAATAAACGAAGAGAAATGTTATGAAGTGTGAATGTTTATTCAGGTATGATATGTACAACTGTAAGCTCATATTTATGAGGCTCGCTTGAATATACTTACTTCCAATAAATTTGACGCTTTCTGCAGTAATATTTATCACCATCATAACTCATATAATCTTCTGATGTCCTCCCCCGGGAAAAAATGATGTAACCTATCGATCGATCGAGCTCACTGTTGTTGGTTAAGATCTAACACGGTTGTACAATTTCAGTACCAAAGGACAAATACTGAAATATGCAAGAAAAATAAAGATGCATGATATTATTTTTTCAATTTTTTAATCATTTCCTCTGCTGGTTGGCTTCTCGCTTCTATTAAAATATTTACTGTGGGAAAAATTCTGGAATTATCCTCTGACCATCACATAAAGTGACCGCTTTGTAAGTTGTGAGAACATCGTTTCTCGGTCCCAGACCTACTCTCTCCCCCCCACCCCCCTGATACAGACATACCAATCCGTTGTTCCAATATATAAATTCTGAGCTGCACAGTCAATGCATTCCACCTAAAAGAGTATTGTTTTTTTTTTTTTAATGACAACATCATTTACTTTTATAATGAAGTTATTTAGTATACAACCGCTCGATGTGCTTCGTGTAACGTCAGTTTACAAGTGCTTTAAACTCACCTCCCCATCCCTACGAGGGCCTCGTAAATAGTACAAGTTTTATAAGAAAAATCTCAAAATCGATCAAATTCCCACAGTGGCTCATCCTCGGTGTAAGAACCTGTGAAACTCACGAGTGACGTAAAGCAAAGGAATCAAAGAAGTCAACACAACAAAACCTAGGTAAACAAAAGGTGCAAAACAAAGAAAAAGATCATAGGTTCTTACACCGAGGTAAACCCCCTACAGTGTGAATCTCTTAATAATAAGAACCTTGAATGGAATTTTGTTCACATAATAAAATTATTACAACAAACTACTTACAGTTTTGGGCCTTTCTGCGGATGTAGTTACTATCCTTTCGATAACTGGTGCGATTTCAAACGCTTTAAAGCTCACTTTTGCATGAGATTCATACGCAGCTGTGTTCAGATGGCTGTAAAACTCCGCCATTTTGTTTTCATGGTTTAGTATGGCGGGCTCAAGTAGTACCAGTTCCTCGCGTTTTTTGAACTGGTGCGTGGGTGTCGTGTGGGTTCATTGCGTGGGCAACAATTTCATAAGAGATCTCTTTTCTTTGAGTTTGCCTCATAAAAAAACGTTTTCATTCTCCTAGAAATGACTCATAGGAATGGCATTTTTCGTTGATGCTGATGTGTAAAGACCCTGCGAATAGTTCATTCTCCAATAAACAAAGGTTAAAGATTCCTCAAAAACAATTTGAAAATAATTACAGGCACAATAGCATTTTGTAGTTGCGCCCCTTTGCGCAATGCTAATGAATTTACTACGGTAGTCGTGGAAAAGTCTATCTGTAAATTTAAAGGAAAAACTACGTATTTTTGGCAAATTTTTGTTCTTTGAAATGAACGCACTATTCAGAACAGAAATTTAAAACAAATTTTAACTTTTTGATAAACTTTTCTCACGCTCAAAATGATTGTTTTGTTCAAAGCAACTAGAGCGGAAGACAGACTATGCAGTCATGGGTGGGGGCGTCCATATTTGGAACTCATGCGGTAATTTATTCGACTCGCATTAAATTACACGAATTGTTTGACTTTGCATGCCAAACAGGAGCAACTTTGTGAGTAAACGGTGGTTTAGCAAGGATTTTCACACCCGATAGCCTCGAACGCTGTTTTGAACTTATTCTGTACGATTGAATAATAGTATGAGCATGGAATTCGACGCTGACACGGTTTCCGCGCCGCGTCTTGTTGTAATGAAGAGAGGAGATGGTGGTTATGGTTTCAATCTTCATGGCGAACGAAATGTCCAAGCAGGTCAAACTATTAGTGCCGTGGACGATGGCAGCGAAGCCCAAAAGGCTGGACTTCGAGTCGGAGATAAAGTTATCGAAGTAAATGGTTTAAATGTTGAAAAGATGTCTCATGGCGACGTTGTAAAGCGGATAAAAACGAACCCGAACGAGGTCTCTATGCTCGTTGTCGATCACATAACGCAGGCCTATTTGAAGCAAGAAGGGAGACCGATCACGGCCGATATGGCTAATCTTATGACTGTTTATCAAGTGAAAGAAGTTTCAGCGGAGCCTGAAGCTCAGCCTGACGAGCCTGAACCAACTCCAGTAGTCGAAGAATCTGTTCCTGAAGTGCAAGAGCCTGATGCCAGTGCTCCGACGCCCACCGAACAAGAGACAGAGCCGCTACCGACAGAGCCTACAAAGGAAGATGCTACGACAACTGAAGCAGAGATTGCGAATGACGCGACAACACCTGAAGAAGTGAAACAGCTCAACGAAGTATTAGACAAAGAGGATGCAGACGTAGAGATACCAGCTCCCGCACCAGCGGAGCCACAAACAAACGGAATGGAACATCACCAAGAACCTCCAGAACCAACTCCTACACCTACCCCAGCTCCAGCGCCGGTTGTTACTCCTACGCCAGCTCCACTACCCGCTCGACCAACATCAAAACCGCTCCGAAGCACGATCAAACAGCAAAAGACTGAATCGTGGGACGAAAAATACAAAAAATTCCAGCAGCTGTGATCGCGTTTTTCCTTGGTGTGTTTCTTGCGAAAAGTAGAGGCCGTGGGAAAGAGGATAGAAAATATCGAATTAGTGATCGACTGCATCGTCGGAGTGGGTGTGAAGTATGTAAACTGAACAGTCGTACATGTACTGTATATACTTTATTCATGATTTGCCAGAAACCACCTTTTGAAAAACATACCGTTCCTTTGAGATATATGAATCGATATTTTTTGAAATAAAATTTGTAGAACTAGTTTAACAAAAGCACAAATTTTGTATTATCCGTAGCAAGCAAGTGCTAGTTGAATATTAGCCTAAGTTATGATAGCGCCATGATGCAATGTTGATAGTCGGTGTGGGTTGCAAGAAGGGTTTAGGAATAAACGATCGATTGAATTATAAATGTCTGCGACACTGTCAATTCAAAGATGTCTGTGTAGTTGTAAACTCGCAACAGAAGTAATTTAATTTTGTAGATTGTTTGGAATACACGATGACATAGAATATTCCAGGCGGAACGTTTCCTTTCCAAATTATATTCGATAGCCATAATTCTTCGCAATAAATAGCGACTTCCACTCAGTGTATATGACTTGATTAATTGCAGCTTCGCTACTAATATGGTCAAAAAGAGTTTGAAGAAAATATTTTTATTAATCTCTGTACAGCAGCTGTTCTGTCCAGCATGTTTATATTTTCGCAGTTGTGTTAAGGGCATAGGAAAAATGCCACGATTTATTTTTCAATGCCGTTTTTTAAGTCGTTTCGACGGATGTAACCTATCGTTGTAATGTTTGCAGCGTGCATATTGGCTGCATATTGGCTACTTTGTTTAATGGGTTGAAATTCTATCCTGGCCGATTCAAGGGGGTTATTTTGGCAAACAACTCATGGCCGATATTGCTATAGCTAGTCGGCTTCTTCTCTCTAAGTGTTAAATTTGCCTCGCATTGTAATCGAATCCATTTTGATTAATGTTACGAAGTGACAACTTGTGATGGGTCAAAAATTTACATGCAGATAGTGTATGCCCTAGCTGTTGTACCCAATAAACATATATTTTTGTTTTAACTCCTGCAGCCAAAAATTAAGTTGAGGATGTCGCCGCATAAACGTTGCCTAAAAACTTACCATTTGAACTAATATAAACAAATTAACAGTTAAATAAAAACATTTATGTATTTTGTTCATTCGAATTGTACTTTTAAGCTCAAAGTTAAAATCGACTCAAGGGAACAAAGCCTGAAAGAAAATTATTCCTCGAATTTTCTCTATAGTTTTCCTTTAAAGGTGCTTTTAAGTGCAGGAGTGTTTTGTTGACAACCTTATTTAACCAAGGAGGACGGTTTTTGCAACAATGCGATTTTTTAATTTAAATTTGCGATTTACTTTTTTCGGATCGTTTAGCCTGAAAGCGTTATTTTGTCCACTTTACTTTTACTTTTTGTGTAAATGGTACAAAAATCTGAGAAAGTTTTGTCTACTTTGGGAATGTCGTTCTGATTTAGAGGCATTGTTGGTTCTAATAAAGCTCAATAGAAAATCATTTTCCATCTGTCATTCTAACTTTTCTTCAATTTTTATCAGTTTCTTTGCCCTGATTAATGTTTTCTTCAGTTGTGTTTGGGGATTTCATGTCTAAACTGTGTGAACCCTCCTTTGAGATGAGCAGATCAAGCTGTTTTATTTGAGCTACTTCTATTAATCTTTAGCATATACTCAGTCAACTGATTATCAATCTCCCACTCCAATTTATATTCTGAAAAACAGCAGTGGCCAACAGCTGCTGTTTTTTACACCATGCAATTCATGAGGTATATACTTGTCACTGGCACATTGCATGTGACATTCACAAAACCAGCCACAACACAACAAGTAAGGGGAGTCATTCTGGACCTCATTTATAATTTTAAAGTTCCTACCCCCTCTTGAAATAATTTTAAAATATCAACAGCAAGCAAGCAAGAACAAACCCTGCTGTAAAAGAGACACCTATTCTTCCAGTTAAAATACCAAACAAAACAATGTATTAGTATTATGTGTCAGCTTCTTTTATTTATGGCAATTATGTTTCATTAGTTATGGTAATAGGACTGAGTGGAGTACAATAATTAATCAGGGAGTAATCGGACAAGTTATCTTAAATCGAGCGAGCGCGTGCATGTGATGTTCTCAAGGGACTGCTCATAAAATGCATACATGCATGTGCACATGAAAAAGATGAAAGGCTCTTCTAATATCACAACTTAACTTTTTTAATAATTATCTCCTAAATTTACAATGATAATATCAATTAAACTAATAAATTGCTTTCTTAATGTTTATATGAAGCCATGTGCCAGGTATCCAGTGAAAGGGAACAATGGAATTGGGCCAACCTTCCCTCCCCCTTGCCCCCTCCTTTGTGCTTCTCACCCACCTGAAATCCCCTCCCTTCTAACCCTTTGAATGCCTGCCTCACAGGCTATATAAGGTTAATCACCCCTGTAAACCAGGCCGGCCTGCTTTACAGAGCTATTGGCTCATGCTTTGTTTCCTTATAAAATCCCCACCCTTTTTTAAACCTCTTGTCTGAGACAGATTAGCCTGCGTAGCAGGCGCTTGGAAGCAGTGGGCACAAAAAAACAAAGACGTGCGCGCGAGAAGGAGAAACCCCTCGCGCGCGCCCGTTCTCTCTTTCGCCCACTACTTCCAAGCGCCCGCTACGCAGGCTAGAAACAGATCCCTTCAGAGAGAAAGCATTACCTTTAATATAGTACATTCGACTCCCGATAATTCGAACCTTTAAAGGAAATAGAAAAAAGTCCGAGTAATCGAGGGTAAAATTATATAGAAAACGATTTGAAGGGTAATGAAAATTGCTTCGAGTTGGCGGGAGGTTCGAGTTACCGGAAGTCGACTGTACCTCCAGGGCAGAGTGGCAAATCTAATTTCCTATTTTAATGAACCTCATCGAAATTGCTGTCCCTTTTGGCTCGATATTGTTAGTGATGATCGGCAGGGATAGTTTTGATTAGAAAGGAAATAGAAAATGTGTCAACGAAATAAAAGCACCTTGTTTAATGCTGCTTAAACCACACCTCGTTTGTTCTGTACCCAGTCCCAGAGAAAAAGGAGGAAAAGCCCAGATCACTGATGATTGATAAGGGTTGAGGGGAGAGCTCCGACCGAATCCAAACTCTCAAGCGCGAGTATGGTTTGGTCTCCAGCCCAAACTCATACCCAGAACCCAGAGTATTCTGACTAAACTTTCGGGGGTAGTGAAGGGATGGCATGTTAAATTCTACAAGCAGAATACTGCAATGCTAGTCGTACTACGTGAAAATGAACTCTGCAAGACATCAACACGACACCGAAAGAACTCAAAACAGGGAGGGATTGTAGCCATAGACAGCTG